CTTTTCTACACAAACAGCTAGAGGCTGTAGGAAAGGCTGAGTCCATCAGCAGGACAGCAGAAGAGCTCACAATTTGGAGAGCCAGGCTCATTCACCCAGGACATTTTTAGAAGCTCCTTCTGCAGTCACTGCATTATGCTTGACAGCATTTCCTGATCCAACATAGACATCAAGGTGGGGTCCTGTTCAGGTTTTGTAAACTGTGGGTTCCTGTTATTTGTAGCCTTTTTGTTTCAGAATCAAGACAAAGATGTACAGAATGTGACAGGGACCTCCTTGTATGTAGTCACCATTGGATCAAACACCAGGCCGAAGTGATGGTAGGAAGCTACTAGGGGACATCTGGAGAGGACAGAGTGAGACAGTGAATCTGGGCAGCTGTGATTCCATTTTTGGGTGATCGATGCCAGAACTGGCTAGTTGGTAGTAAGGAGGGCTTTGATCTGTAGCAAGCAAGAGACAACTAAAATTAGCTACTTATGGGGTCCAATCTGTAGAAGATATTCCTGGGCATGGCTGACCGAGAGAAGTACCAAGTCTCACACATCCTTGTCAGCAGAGAAATTTTGTGTTATTGTTCTTTACCTTGTTCCGGCTGAGTCCTGTATCCTCACAGCACTCAGGGGCTCATACCCCTCATCCTGTACTGCATATAATCCACCCCAGAATACAGGCACTGGCAACAGTAAAGGCTTATGTAGTTGCCAGTTGGCTGGGCATGGCTCTTGTGTCCTCAGCATGTGCAATGAAGAGCATCAGGGTGGATCTCTTAATTCATGGCTGCTGCTTGGCATCAGGCTGCATTCACCCTGTTTTTCTGGAGGCTGTTTTTCCACATGTACCAGTACAGATTCCAGAACCTGGCCAGACTACCAAGGCCTACAAATGTCTACAAGTCTACTATATCCTGTTGTTTGTAGGTGGCACACTGGAGCTGGCTGGATGAGTTGAGCTTCAGCCTTGCGGTCAAGCATAGTTTAGAGGAACATGGAGAATGCCCGCAGGGGTGCTTCATTCTTGAGGGCACTGTGGGATGTGATAACAGCACATAGAAGGGCAAGGCTGAGGTCCCAACCCATAGACATTTAGCCCAGGCTGAGATTAATGCAGACCTGGTGCCCATCCAGCCTTCTGCCCACACAGCAAGGCTGTATACAATCCTTCCTTTTATTTGGATGCTATGCTTTGAGTCTTCACTTGGAGAAATGGTATGTTCCC